TGTTCTATACGCTCTTGTCTAACATTGTGGGATTTCTTGCAGAGTTGGCTAGACACTTTGGCATGCAAAGCGTGACAGCCCCTAACCAAGCCAGCCCAGCTGAATATTATAAGCAGTAACACATCTCTGTCTGTAACCCATCACTTGTTTGAATGCTACTGTGTATTATTGGTTTGCATTTGAAAAGGTCTTGGCTGTCACAGGAATGAAGTGTGACCATTGGCCGGGCTTTGCTGAAGGCTGTGTTATGCATAGTGTCTTTCTAAAAATGTCTCTGTAATGTCAGGTTTGGGCCAGACCCCAATTCCGAGTCCGTGACCTATTGCACATTTGCACATGGTGCTCAGCAGGACTCATGCCACCAAATAATGAACTGGATGGTCAGGAAATGGACTGGAGCCAGTCCTCTGCTGTCATGAAGCCATAACATAGGCAGATGCCATAATGGGCAGAGAGGGGGAGATTTTTTTCTGTTTTAGAAATTGTAGATGCCCACAGAAAGGGGTACTCTTTCCTGGTACCTTGACAGGAGGCAACTCTATAAAACAGACTCTGTTCTGACTTGCTATTTTAAGGGCTGGTTATAGCTTACCCGTTTAAAGTGAAAATGTAAACTATTGTGGGGGAAGGGGTGGAGGAAGAACTAGAACTATCTGTTTATAGTCTGTGGGCAAAACGCAGGTTATCTGTGACTGTCCAAACAACTTGTCTGCTCTCATGTTGCCCACGGAGGAGTCCCAGGAGGAATCCTATCTCTGGAGAAGGTCGGGGAGAACGTTCAGGTGCCTTTTATAAAGAGAAGGACATGCTTTTGTGTCGTGAAACGTCATTATTGCAGCCTTGTTTGAAAAGGACGGATCCTTTACTAGCAGCAGTCAGTTCATGAACGTGGGGTCCTTTTTGGCATATGGGGAGCTGGTACCATCTTTGTCTTTGAGATGAATAAGTGGTTCCACTTGCTGTGCTCTTCCTTCTGTATTTGCACTTTATCTTGCTGCCTGGTCAGGAGGGAGCTACCACCATGGAAGGGACACCAAGGTCTGGAAGCCTCCCTATATGGGAGCTTATGCTTTGGAAATAAATCAAACACACGTTTTCTTTCTGATATTGTAAACAAGCTACTTCGCTCCTTTGGGGATCAGTGATACAGGCTTTATTTCTAGTAACAGCACCCACTGCAAGAGTGTTTCAAATTTAAAATTGAAAAAGAATTATAAAAGGATTTTAAACTAAGCCTTGCTCTTGATAGTTTAGGAGAACAGACAAGCAGGGATAACGTTTAACATGAGTCCTGACTTGGAGGGGTCAGAATTCACTCCACTTTCCAAGGGTTTAAACATCTTCGCTTTGTTCCCTATCCTGAGTTTGAAGAGCTTGGTCATAAGCAGCCATCTTTTTTTGTGGAGCAGAGGAAGAGGAGAGGATCAAGCGAATATTTCTATCCTAGTTGAAAATATCCTGTAGAAGGTTCTGCAAATATAAAAGTTGTGCTAGAATGGGACTCGAACCTTGCAGCCTGTTCCTCTGTGGATGGTGGCTTATGTAGATAACGTTTTGATGCAGCAACCCCCTGAATGCCTATGTGATGCCGTTCCCCTTCCTCCTTTCCGCAGAAGCCCTGCCCAGCATTTATATAAGTGGCTCATCCACCTGCTGAGTCCTGCTCTCTGTAAACGTCTTGTGACCTTGCTTACTGTCATGCCTGGTCAAATCTTGCCTTTAGATAGGCAAGACCAGCTCACCTTGAGGTGCTGCTGAAGCATCAAGGCAGAAGTTGAGGTTCTTCATCCCAGCATGGAGCATCTCCTGTTTGCTCACGATGGGGTAGATGTTGGGACAGATCTACTTCAGCACAGTGGGTCTGTTTGCAGGGCCAGAACTGGGAATTTTAATTCCCCTTTATTTTTCTGCTGGGTGGCTGCCCCATATCCTGTCTCTGGGGGAAGACAGCAGACTGCTTCCCCTGGTCCTCCCCACACACCCACTAGCCCTTTTGTGGTCCCCAGGGGCCTCTGTCTGACAGGCTGCAAGGCCTGAATCCCAGTGGATGGATTTTCCTCACTGTAATACCAGCCTCGTTTTTGAGTTTTTTTACTTGAAACTGTCTGTGTGAGAAGCCAGATTCCCATCCAAGCTGCCTACAGCTGGTGCCACAAGCTGAGTAAATCCTGAGGGCTGCATTAAAGCACCTGGAATTACTGAAACCTTTCACACAGGGGTCTCTTTTCCATTTCTTCATGTCTTAATTTTTCAGAGAAAGGGAGGGCATAGAGGAGACTGAGACAGCTTTGGGTTTCAGAGTGCATGAAAATGTGCTTCATTAAACTTGCTTTTGGCCAGTCAGCAATGGCGCTCTTTGTTTTTAAGAGCATATGCGGGCTTCTTCATTACTCTCAGAAAAAAATTCGCAGCTCCTTTTGGACATGCTGCCACACTCCAGAGGAGGATCCTGAGCAAGGTTTTGGGTATGTGGAAGCTACCTGAATGCTTTTGGAGATGTTGATTTTGGTGGTGACGATTCAGGCGTGTGCTGTTGCTCTTGAGAAGTCTATACGTTTCAGCTACATAGAGGTTTCTCCTCTGTCACAAAGTGAACGGGATGGGATGCCTATGCCTAATCTCGATGCGTGGAAGCAGCACAGTTTAACCATATTTCCATTAAGCCCTGTACTGGTAATCGAGAGCTATGTGCATTAAGGTAGGTTCCTGTGTGTTGTGGTGTGGAAAGCGTTCCTGTGGTCCGCGTTCATGTTCTGAAGGATATATCACCACCGGTGTGTTTGTGTGTGTTGCAGTAGCACTCTCACGCTTCTCTCCATTAAAAAAGTGTTTCAGGACATAGCAGTTGCATTTTCATCACCTGTGTGGTGCATTAGGGGTCGGCAGAGTTTTAAATATGCCACCAACACACAGAGAACAGTTTGTAAAGCAGCAGAGCTGCTGGACCCTGTCTAACCCACCCAAGGAGATGAGTGAGTGTTTTGCAGGCTGCTGGTGGTATATGGGAAAAGGCATTAGGAAAAGGAAACTTAATTGTCCAAGAACTTTAGCTGTGTACCAGCTGGAGGTACAAACTGAAATCCTGTACCAAAAGATCGCATTTCACCTGCCCTGCTGAAGGCTTAAATGCCTCTTCCTCTCTAAGGTGGAAGTTTAAAGCGCACTAATACTGGTGATGTAGGTAAGTGAGGAAGGCCCGAATTCCTTCCACTTTTGTTATATCTTATCTCCTTGCTCTTATTAAAATAAGTATAGGTATTAAAATTTATATTATGTAGTCTCTTAGCTGTATCGCAGCTTCAAAACTCTAAGTAGATGAGTGTTGATGTTGCAGGCCAGTACCAGACAGCCTTTGAACGCTGTACTGGTATCAATAACTAGCCAAGTAATGCAATATTCTGGCAGGTAAGTGTCATATTTCTGGAAACTGAGGCCCTTCTAAAACAAACTCTTTCTCTAGTGCGTGCTTGCTGCCCTCTTCCAACAGATAGATTTATGTTCTCATCGACTCTGGGTTCCAGGAGTATCTTCTAGCAAATGGGGTTTTTGCTCTGTGCCTTAATTTCTTCTCCCACAACTGATTTTCTTTCGGGGCTGTGTGTGTTCTCAGGTCATCAAAGCTGGAGTGGAGACAACCTGTAAATGCCACGGTGTATCTGGATCCTGCACTGTCCGAACATGCTGGAGGCAGCTCTCTCCATTCCATGAAATAGGGAAGCAGCTGAAGCAGAAATACGAGACATCCCTCAAAGTGGGCAGCACTACCAATGAGGCCACGGGGGAAGGAGACATCTCCCCACCCAAGAAGTCCATCCCTGGTCACAGTGATCAAATCCCAAGGACTACGGATCTCGTCTACATTGACGATTCCCCGAGCTTCTGTCTGATGAGCAGATACTCGCCTGGGACTTCAGGAAGGAAATGTTACAAAGACAAGAACTGTGACAGCATCTGCTGCGGGCGAGGGCACAATACGCAGAGCCGGGTGGTCACCCGTCCATGCCAGTGCCAGGTTCGCTGGTGCTGCTATGTGGAATGCAAGCAATGCACCCAGAGAGAAGAGGTTTATACCTGCAAAGACTAACGCGTCTTCTGTCTGATGGCTACCCTCAGTGATGGGCGATTGCGATCTATGAGAACTGCGTATGGAGACAAACAGGGTTTGACTGACCTTCTGGGATCTGAAAGCTATGTTGAGACATAAGCACTTTGTAGGGTACAGGTGACCCAGCTGTGTTGCTGTTTTTTTGTTTTTTTTTTTCTGTAGACTGAATTGTAATGAGGTCCAACCATGTGGAAGTAAGTGCCTGTCACGCTGGGGTTAGACAACAGTTGACCTTCACCTTAGTCATCCATGCAGTTTGACGGATCATTTATCCATGTAACATCTTGATCGGTTCACCAATCCTCCATGGACTCCTTGGCTCATATATTCTCTTCGGGATAAACAACCGTGTGGCCTATACTACTTTATTACTGAAGCTTTCCTGACTGCCTGGAGAGCTGAGCAGATATGAAAGACCTTTCTGCTTTGAATGTGGTGGTAGAGGAAGCGGCCATTTTTTCCTTCTGAAACTGGAGATACGTGTGTGGGGTAAGCAGAATCAGCTCTGATTGTTCCTCTAGTGGAATTTCTGCACATCCGGCAAACAAGGCTCTGACAAAGAGACCCACTTGGAGGGTAAGCTTTTTAACGACAGCTCCGTATCCACGTGCTCTGATCACCGAATGTAGCCTGAAGAATGTTGGGTCCACCATGTTGCAGATAGAAATTTATCCAAGAACAAGATTGGGAAGACAGTACAAAACCAGACGTGCCTGTCCCCTTCAGTCTAATCACTTTTTTTTTTTTTTTAACATTTTCTTCAAATGCAGTTTCTTTAGCACTATCACTGTCTTAATTTTTATTTTTTAAAGAAACCACTACTTTTGTTTTATTTTTCACTTTGTACATGATGTGTGTTTCTCTCTTCTTCCCACCTCTTGCTGATTGAATTCACCCTGTGGAGACTGCTTCGGAAATCCAAACTGGAACTTTTTTGTCTTATGTCAGCTGAATTTGGATGTGCGTTTCGGAGTAGGACAAGAGAAATTCCCATGCATCTTGGAACACAGTGCTGTCTTGCATTGCATAGCGGCCGTTTTGGACTGGATCAGACCTTTGGAGGAGTTGACTTTTACTAGGTCATCATTCCATTTACTCTAAACCATGGCAGTGGTACATGACACAAGCTGTATGTAAACCCTATGACCTTAAGATTTTTTTTAACCACTAGATTGAGAACTGTATTTTCAAAATACAACTGCTAAATGGTAACCCACTATTGGATTCTAGACAGCTAATCAACACCAAGACAAACTGTTGAGTGGCCAGAGAAGCCAGAAATTGACTGCAGTGGTAGATACCTCTGACGCTGTGAAATAGATGACAACCTTCAGCATTTCTTTTTTCCTTTGAAGAGGATAGTTAAAATCCATGACTTGATGCAGCAATATCCTTCAGTTATAAACATGCTTCTGGACTGGAAGCAACCGGTAAATGCCTCGGCAAAGCTTTCTAAGGAAACACTGGAGAGCAGAGGGCATTTTGGTTTATTTTTGGTAGCAATTTTTGATTGCCCAGTAGTAGCAATTTCAAATAGCTTTATAAAGCTTTGGTCTGATTTTCAAAAGAGGAAAGCTGACTGGATTTTTTTCAAGAAGTAGTAGAGTTTTCCAAGCAAAAAGAGCACAGTTTTCCAAGATGGACCATTATTTTTCAAGGTGTTGAGGTTTTTTTTGTTTTTTATTTTTATTTTCTTCTTCCCCAAAACAGCAGCCACTAATATTTAAGCTGTTCATGTGCATCTACTGGGAGGAGAATTTTTTTTTTTTTTTCTTTCTAACGAATAACTGCAGCCCAGTCTGGCTTGTTGGCATCAAATGTTGAGGTGGTGGGCTGGGGAGGGACAGGACGTTACCGTTAATAGCGCTATGATCCTGCAAAGCAAAACATACTGGCTCTTTTGTTTGGGTTTTTTTTTTTTGGTGTTTGTTTTTTTGCTGTACAATTTTGGAGATCGGGGTAGTGCTGCAGAAGGAGGAATCCACACGCAGTGTTTGTTCCATGCACCACAGCAAGTGCACGGTGGAGCATTCGACGTAGAGCGTTTGCAGGAGGGTCTCGCGGCCTCCGTGGGATGCACCGTTTTGAAAGTCACACACGAGCAGTTTATCTAATGGTTTAAAAAAAAAAAAAAACTGAATAGAAACCTATTATTCAGTGTATGCATGCGTGTATAGATATACGCCCATGCAGACACGTAAATATATATATATAAATATTGAATGAACATTTATTTATTGTAAAGCCCTTCAGAAGGACCTTCTTATGGTTTCAATGTGGTATTATGTTAAATTCTCTTTCTCCCGCTGTCTCTCTCTCTCTCTCTCACACATATGTGCAAACTCACTGTTACATTTTTGTGTGTGTGTTAGAATAGCTCTTGCCCCTCTACAGTAAGGCTGGATCCAAACCTGCTCAAAACGTGAGGGTTTGGGGGTCTGAATTACTAGTTCTGGAGCCATTCTTTTTTTAAATATTTGCTCTTAATTAAAGAATGGGCCACAATTTATGTGCATTTTTATTATTAATTATTATTATTATTGTTTATATTTAAACCGTGGGCCTCATTTTCCTTCTTTTCACTGGTGTCTCTGTCTCCGTTGACCTCGCTGGAGTAACTCCATATTGCACTGGTGTGAGAGGAGAATGAGTCCCTAGATGCAGAAGAGGGCCGTGTTGGCATTGATATCGTTATAGAAAATGCCTGCGACAGATGGGATAGGATAGATAGCTTGGTGTGTTTGGCCGTAGGGGGAGAGAGAGATGGGTGGGCAAATAAGGCAGACTGTCAGAAGTAGAAATAAGAGGCAAAGAGTGAATGAACTACTGAGTGAAAGAGCTCTTCTGTGTATTATAATTCACGCACTGAAGCCTGGATGCTTTCTGTAAGTATTTAAAAAAAAAAAAAAACTCAAAAAAAAACAAAAAACAAAAATTGTATTTATGTTAATGTGGATATATTACTTGCCTGTTATATATTTGTAAATAGCAAGGTTTATTCTCCTGTGGTTAAAAAAAAATTATAAATAACTAAATAGTAGCGAGGCACATGTGTTAAATGTATAGGCAGTGTATAAAATATACTAACACTCTGAAATCAGGAGAACTTGTCTTCTTGGCCTTTTGACCTAGGGTGGTAAAACATATGTGGGTTATTCTTCTTCTCCCCTGCCCCCCAATCTTTTTTGTGTGTGTTTTGGGGGAGGTTGTGCTAAATTCCAGGGTTTTCTGATGTTTGCCTTATCTTTGAGGAAAAAATGGGGGGAAAGCCTCATTGTGGAAAAATCCAATGGAGTTTGAATAGGATGAAACAAGTAACAGCTGGTAGAAATGTTGTTAGACCCAGTCAAAACTCAAATGCTTGAGCAGGGTTTTCTGCTGGGGAGGGTTGTGTGTTGGGGTTGAATTAAACTGTGGGACTGAGCAGGAGCTTCTGCTTGTGGTCCTCCATGTGCAAGTTTAGAAAATCCTAGGTAAGAAGGCCTTGAAGTCCTCTGCAAAAAATTGAGTAATGTCCTGTACAATCATTTTGGTTCCAGCTGTATGAAATTGGATTTTTCCAGGGAGGCCAATTCTACTGTCACCATCCTATGATCTCCCGTGCAATCCAATGGAGTCGCTCATTCTTATAAAACTACTACAAGAGTGGATTTGGCCCTGAATTTTTCATGATGTCATTTCATAATGAAAGTGCAAAGCAACTTTTCCCCTTTTTCTTCTCCCCTATAGAAACAAAATTTTTGCAGCAGATATAACTGGAGAAGGATGGATGGGTGTAGGGGAGGTCTCTGATTTCTGATCCCCTTTCACCTTTTTTTCCCCCCAAAAATGTCAAAGCGTGGGTTCTCCTAAGCTGATCCAGCAAGACTTGCAAGATCAGTATTGGGTTGGGGGGGGTGCAACCATTATTTATATAACTTTTTTATTAATTTTTGTAAAAGAGAAGTTAGCTGATGGAAGAATATTTTTATTGAATAGTGCATTTAGTTATGTCAGAAATATAAAAAAAAGTATATATAATATTTTTGTAAACAAGGCAAACTGAAAATGTTTGCTGTTTTATATTAGAATTTTCTATTAAAAGAAATAAAAACCCACACAAATAATTGTTGCACCCATCATCTGTTTTTTAACAAGCTTCTATTCTGTGTGACTGACTCATATATAATGGATGTAGAGACGTGCAAAACAAGTCCTAAGCATTACATTCTCATTGTCTCCCAGCTCTTGAAAGACTTCAGTTGGTGAAACAAGCAGTGTTTAGTCCATAGGGCTTTTTCTGATTGCTAACACTAAAAATTTATTGCAAAGAGTGACAGAATCAGTAACTTGTAATTGAAATACAAAATCCTACCCGGAAACCTCAAGCTTACTCCTCTTAATTTTGCTTCCTGGTCTTGGGATGACTCTGGAGGCAGGAAAACCCAAAACGATTTTCAAAAACTAGATTTTTGCCCTTGATCTCCGTTGGGGTGGGAAGAGTGGCTCTTGTGAAGGATGTTGGAGAAGAAGAAGAAAAAAAATCTGAATGCATGGGAAGCTGAAATGAAGAGAACCGAATTCCAGGCTTGATCTAGCACAAGCTATTTTTATCGACTTGAATGGGGTAGTGTAAAGTTGTGGCACTGGAACTTGGTCCGCTGGAGTTCGAGCAGCCTCTCACTCCCCTTTGGAAGTACAGGATGAGTTGTGGGCCATCTCTTTTCAGGAGAGCTTTTGGGGTTGCTGATTTGTAGACCTGGATAAGGGTTAAACAATTTCTGGGGAATTGTCATGGTCAGCCAGCCTTTATTCGTCTACCTTCCTTTGGCCCAGCCCTTGAATTTCTTTGTTAGTTGTTTTTCAGCTGCCCTGTTTTGGCTGGTGTATGAGGAGAGATTGGGTTGGGCTGGTTGCAGTAGGTTTGAATGAGAATCAAAATGAAGGGACAAATTCCTCATGCTTGCTTTTATGGAATAGATGGTGTAATTAAGGTAATTTTCTTGTGATTTATAATGCCTATGAAAAAATCCTCAGCTGATGTTGCAGTAAAGTTAGGTCTATTCTGTGCTCGCTGAAAGGGTGCAACAAAGATGCGTTCCCTGCCTTTTCAGTGCTATGTTCGCATCTGTTGGGATGAGCCTGGCTTCCACGGTTAGCACACCCTGGCTTTCATTAACTAGGTGATGACTTTTTGAAAGCAACCTTTTCCCACAAGATAAATAGTGCCTTTTATGACCATTGCTGTCCATGTAACTTGAAGGATGGCCAATATGACACGTGATCAAGCCTGCAGAGATCTGGTCTGTGCTGAAGTAGTGAAGCTTAGGTCCATAGATATGAGAACTGAATAGCTTTTTAAATCCAGTTGCCACTGATGAGGGTTGGATTTGACCAAACTATTTACTGGTTCCAGGAAATAGTATTTCTGAACAAAATGAGGAATCTCTAGTATTTGTGGGTGATGAGGAAAAGAAAATGGATTTTGCTAGCACATTTTAACTCTGGTAGCTCTTTAACATTGTCATAGGCTACCTATAACTACATTTCTTCAGGGACAGGGAGTGGGGAGAGTAAGTGAAGACCATAAATGATTTGGATGCGTGAAAATTCAGCATGCTATCAGGGGACACCTGTGAACATGACATTTTTCTCAGTTGTTGCTGAATGTTCTCAGAAATGGACAAAACCCTTCTATGCAAGGTTTGGCAAGGTGCCTCAAAGAGACAGGAGATTCCCCTTCCCCACTCAGTCCTTACTTTTGTTGCACGGTTGCTTGGGAAAATTGGGCTGTGCAGAGCAGATATATTGGCTCGCTTGGTGCAGA